GACATACTACCAGCATTACCGAGCAGCATGGTAATCATTTATATTTTCTGTAATTTTGTTATTTTCGGGGAAAGTGTTTGTATTTGAGTTTCCGAGTTAAAATGATTATTGGTGATTTGATAAAGTCCCCAGTTAGAATTGTCGATAATGAAATTTCAAAAATGGCCTTTTATATGACAATTTTAATTAACTTTTTAACTGATATAATTTAAGACATGTATTTTGAAGAAGACGTTTGTCCTTCCGGGACACCTGGGTTATTCTCGTACTTTTTGATTGAGATGTCGCCGTGTAAACCTTTCTTTTGTTCACATTTTGCCCTAGGCTCATCGAAACAGTCTCAAGCAACACTAGGAATGGCTACAATTAAAGGAGAAATCAAGATACATGTTTCATCCAAGACAATGTTATGATTTTGTCATTGTCTGTAACTATCTGATTATATGTGTGACATACATATACATTTCCAGGCAGCCTGATTATCCAGAAGTCTAAGACCATAACGGTATACTCGCCGTGTTATGGACAATGGTTGGAATCACATCTCCAAGGTAACCCATTTTTTTAAACAAAGACTCATAAATTCACAAGTAATAGTATATTCTAGTTGGTTCTTTTGTTTTGATATGAACATACACTTACCTATTCCAATCTTTTCATTTCGGCAACATATATAACTGGTAGAAATGGACGTAAACTCACACAGTTAAAATACATATCTTTTTCTCCAATAAGTGATTTTCACATATTCCCTATAGACAACTGACAGCTGACAAATTAACGTTCAAAATTCGCTTTTTAGAAGTACAGTGTAATGACTATTGGAAAGTTTGATGTATGCATTATAATTTCATTTGGGTATATTCTTTTACCTTGTGGTTTATGAACTTGATAGCGATGTTTGTCAGTATGCTTGCTAGTTTAGTTGTTACGAACATGTAAGTACCTGTTGATTCTTATTTGAGAACCAACTTATTCTCGATAAAGAACAGTATATTTTTTATTACCGAATATGTGCTCTTATTATTCTTGCTCTTCAAGCATCTCCTTGTAAAAAATGTTCTTTTGTTCATATTTTGTCCTCTGATTTTGTTTTTGAGTTCTGAATTTGTTTCAAAATGTTGGTGATTACTGTCAAGGTAATATATAAAGTACGCAAGAAATAGATCTGGAATAACACAGACGACCTTGTTCTAATATGGATAGTTCACTCTGTTGAATTAAGAGATTTAGATTTAACAAAACTAATTAATACTTTTACTTCAATTTTGATTATTTGTCTATATGTCAACTAAAGGTATTAAAAGGACAGGCCGCCTCAATCTACCTTAACGCTACCCTAACAAGGTCAATTATAAAACTAGCGTTCGTAATCATATTACGCCCTTTTCAAATATTTAAGCTTCGTTACTATTTGGTGGATTAAGACTGAATGGTCTGATTGTTTGGCCACAATTTCGGTCAGGTTAAGTGTTATACTACAATACGAGCTTTTTGGAGAATTAGAGTTGAACTAACTAAGTGTAATCTAGTGATACTGTGCTATTATAAACCTTCCACTAGTCCATTGAGAGGTGTTGGCAGGAACCTGTCGACTACCAACCGACATTACAGACGACTACACAAACACCTTGTAGAGATTGTTTTTGTGATACAAGTTGCGTTCTTTGGTCCTAATTCATTTATCTCCTGTCAAACCTAGATATAATGCTACAAAAACACGGATAATAGTGTTCGTGTATAGCAATAAGCAAAACATGTGTTTATAAAATGTTAGCGCTTTTCATGTACAAAAATAAACACCATGTTAAAATTCGGTTATCGTGTTTATACTTTCAAACGGCGAAGATATGTCGCTGCATGTTTTTCACCCTTATCCCCTTTAAGAAATTGTTCATCTTCAATGCTCGTTCGATGCATTTCCCTAACGTCCTCCGCCTCCTTCCTTCACCTTCGCGTTGTACTCTTGCATTGTGTTGTTCATTTCTTGTGTTTTATCAATGCATTCTAACACACATGTTCGAAAAAAATACGATTTTCAAGATTATTCATTCAGTAGAGTAAACGTCTCTTCTGCTTCGTTGCAGACACCCGACATGTAAATCTAGGTCAATCCAAATTGTCACGCGTCAAATAAACAGGGTTACTAACAAGTATAAAGCACATTAACCTTCAAATTGTACAAGGAATTTACATGAATCGACGACCTAAACTACCAATTCATATTTCACTAACTTGTATTTGGTGCTAATCTTCGGTTTTCGCTATTACGTTTTTAACATCTATCAAGGAGAATTTTTATCTTAGAATAAAATCCCCATATGTTGGAGAAGCAGGAAAGTAATTGTTTAAAATGTAACATTCACAAAATAAATCATCACGTTTGTTGTTCCATGAAAGACAGAAGAACGTTTATGGCATATGAAACGATGTGGTCGATCAATAATATGAATTGGTCCATCACTCTACCCTATAATACGCCTATCTATCAATTCTGATTTGACAGCACTAATCTTACATATAAACACATCAAAAACAATACCAACATATTAACAGAATCATAATCCAAATTCAAATTCAATAAAATTAGAGCAAAACGTGAACACGAGAAGAGAGGTAAAAGGACGAAAAGATCAGCACGAAGCCGTTCTCATGCTCAAGCATGAATTTTGTGCTCAAGCCTTGTATCTTGTTTTAGTTAAAATGAATAAGAAATGCTAATTTTGTCACAGATTTGAAAATATTTTGAAAGGTCTTCAAACCAAATGCTATATTCAATGTTTATATTTGACATTTGTATTATTGGAAATGACTTAGGTGAATCATAAAAAAGTTATCTTGAGTACAAAATATATGCTTGAGCATGAGAACAGTTTCATGAATACGGGCCCAGGTGTTCCGAAGGAGAAAGTATGTTTATCTTTATCGGCGACACCAGCCAAGTTCATCTTGGAAAATCCAAGTAAGTAAAGTCACTTTTCAAGAAAAGAACACGATAAACAACAGCAAAGTCAACAGGTATACTAACAACATGAAACACGTCCATTTTCACACCGTGAAAGGAAGTATAACATATATATGTGTATATTCCTGATATTTCTACGAGATAATAATGCATGTTTCCATTCGGGACGAAAGTATATTATTTCTATATAAATATGATATGCAGTACAAAAATATAACAAAACAACTACAAAGTGTCCTGTACACTCATAATTTCCCCAGAGTGATATTATCCAGAGAACACAGCGTTAGTTGTAGAAAAGGGAATGGTGAGGCAGTGGCGAATCTCTGATGGGAACGCTAACATCGAGCATCATTAAGCGATTGATTATGCCTGCAGACATATGGTCTGGGGCTACTTTGTTGTACTGAAAATAACCCTATAATTCCAGTGTTAGAAGGTCACCAAGTTCACATTGTCTTAATGTGTCTGTATTGTCTGTTAGTAGAGAAGTAACACCTATCAACATAACATTAATGATAACTTCTGACATTATCACATTACGCTTGTTTTATCAAAAATGATAATTTACATAGCTTACCGTTTCATATAAAATGATGGGATGAATTTACATCTGTTTAATACGAACTTTAAATTTGCCATTTACCCACTCAAAATTACCAATCTGATACTTCAAAAATTAGACATCTGGTGTACGAGCGTTCGATCTCATAATGCAACTCACGAAATCTCTCAGAAAAAGTGTTATAATTTTGTTGGTATCATAATCTGATTTTCAGAATCGCAAAATTATGAAGCATGAGCTAGTACAATAACTATTTGATGACAGGAATCGGAAACCCGTAAAAATTGCAATGCAATATTAACAGTGCTCCTTATAATATCTCTTTCTTATTAAAGTCTATTATTATCTTTTACGAAATATGTTTGTTCAGCGGGGATAGGAAAATACTTTTGTGACCTAGTTAAAGTACGTCTCTATAACTGTGATGAGATACTCTGTACTTAACGTAGCCTGTTAATTTACCATAGATTACCTTTTGCCTTGTCCTGAATTAAAGGAATGAAAACTGTATAAAATAATTACCAGCTAACAATAACAGTGTTAAGTCATTCTTTTTTATGACAAAATCCTCGTTCCGTGAGTTAACAAGAAGATAGTGACATTTTTGTTCTTAGAATGTTTTATTTTAAATTTACCATTGCCCATATCAACGTCTCGATATCTTTCTCTGATTAATGAAAGAAATGGCAGTTATTGTTATCACTGATATTGGTGCGGCTTGACAAATCAGGCAGGTTTGATGTTCCGTTTGCACAACTGTATAAAACAGGCCATATTATTATTTTAAGATTTAATAACTTTATATCAACGATATGTCTAATTAAAACAAAATTCTGTAAGACGTCGTCATGGCGACCTGGTAATACAGACAATAGTATAGCATAACGTTACCATAATGAGACAGAAATAAAAACTGAAACATTTCTGCAACTCGATACAAAAAAAAAATTTCATGTAGAATTCGTTGACATAATACAATCATTCGTATATTGTAAGTCTTTGAAATTTGTTAAAACACAGTACGGTACTTTTATGCTATCCGAGTCTGGAATGTACACCACATCATGCCAGTTAAAACAGCACGGAAGGTGGTCATATAACTATAGCTATGTGAAGATATATTTACATTAAGATGTTGCAGGTTTTGATTTACACTGAAATCAAAACCACGCTGTGAAAGCCATGTGTTGACCTTCTCATGACGTTCAAGGCGACTTAAACATATGGAATTGTTTCTATCAAACTCCGCTGACGTCTGTTATATCAAAAACATGTTTGTGAAATATATATGATGAAGATGAAGTGGTTGTTAACTCGGGCAACTATAAAATACCTTTATAACTTTAATGTTTTTTTTCTTTCATTTTAAGCAACCATGCCATAGATTCCGCACGAGACAAGTTATATCGTGACGTCTCAAATAGATGACGTCACCGAAGTAACACGTTTGAATTAAACTCTTAAGTCAAATTAATTGCCTTTGTTTTTTTATTGTCAAAGAATAACAACGAGTTTGCACACAAGAAACCCTGGCGTTAAGGCGTTTGTGCCTTATAAAATGTCTCTACATTTCTCATGCTACAGATGTGGTCCTCTCTTAAACATCAATGCACAATCACACCTCTCTCCTCTTTATACAATAACATAGAGCCCTTACATTGAGTGAACATAAAAATAAATATATATAAACGAATTAATCATCATTTATTATAAACTATAAAGTTAACAAGAAAATTCAGAACCTTCCAAATTTAAGACAGAAATGATACTGGATTAAGTTAAGAATTTCGGAGGGCGTTTATCTTTACTGATATATGAAAGTGTAATATTGGGACTTCCGATTCCGTGTAAAAGATTGCGACCGCACCACTGTCATATGCACCAATCCTAGTTAATGCGTATGATAAAAATACTAATTGTAATTAGTGGGTGTGATAAAGTAATGTAAACTGATGCACCCAGGATAAAATGACGGAAAGAAGCAATGATTATATGTGTTTTGGATAATTAAGAGAAAGTGTTTATCGTGGTAACTCTGTATGTTGTATCAGTCTGTGCCCACACATACTGCTACACATCATCTTATCATATACGTAATTGAATGTTCCATGACCAGCATAAACATATAAACTGTAGCATGGAATAAAACATAAATAGATTTACGACGGACCTTGCGCTCACCACTGACACACAATTCCTAATTGTTACACGTTAGACATTTCTTACAAAAAAAAATCCTTATAAATAATGTAATGTAACAGTCTTATTCTGTCTCCAACTTGAATCACATTTATTTTTTATTTGTTAAAAGTCTGCTGGAATGAAAGAGATAGAGCAATGAATTATTTCTCATATTGACATAGACTACCGCACATGATATATTAAGAGTTTCTTCACGTCCTTATCCAGTTGAAGCAAAAGATGATTCAGAAACAGACTTTATATATATAGTTGTTGGATTTATAATGTCAATATTTTGAGGGTCTCGTGTCACACCGGTTGTTTCAAACGTCCCCTCTCACCCGATGGAATGTCTCAGGTAAGTACCATAGTAGCCGAAACGCTTAATTCAATTGTTCCATTCATACAAGCGTTTACCAGACTTCTGGTCTTGGACCGTTGGTAATTAACTGTCTGTTGTTGGTCTGAAACGTTTTCAATTTTCGTTACGCTTATTTGTTTGTCCTACCTAATCTTTGTTTATCTTACTTTTCGATAATGATTACCGTAGCATCTGACCCCCGACCTCTGGTTCGACTATATGGTCTGAGAATTCGTTCACATCTCGATGATATCTGGGTTGGGGGGTTACGCCGTCTTGCTCGTAAAAGTTGATTAAAGCAATGTCGAATAGCTATTACACTTTCATTCGGAAAACTGCGCCTGCGTCGGTTGAAGGTCCGATTCCGTTGCATTCGTGAATTGAAGGCATTTTCCGCGTCAAGGACTGAAAACGCTGTAAAAGGAGAACAAAATCGATTACTCATATGTTGAATGAACAGATAAATACCTTAACAACTGCAAATTCAATATCATGTTCAGATGTTAAATTTATTTTTGTTATTTTTTATGTAAATGGTATGTATTTCCTACAAGAACAGAACATTAGTCGCCTTTGCTGAATGTTTTCGTTTTTCTCCTGTCTCAAAAAACACAGCCAATAAAACCATTTCGATATAAGATAATGGTATTGGGTTTTGGATTTGAACAGTGATATTGCAAATATTCAACAACGATGCATTAAAATGATAACAGATGAAAATCACTCAGTGGCTCAAACAACTTACCTTCATCTAATTCTTGTTCTACTCTAAAGTGGTTCGATCGAAGGTTTTTGGAATGATGAGATCTGATTGGAGTGGCAGCGAACAGATCGGCCAACAGAACAATAGCTAGTACACACAGCAACACACTCTTGTATAGTTCCATATCTGTAAATACAAAACGATAATTAGACACCATCCTCGATGTGAAAATAAAATAAAGAAACATAAGCGATAGTGGGGGCTTTTATTACAAAAAAATAATAGTAACAAAATTCACTACTTGCATCAAACATTACCAAGTGTATAATTGGCGGGATTTGTGCGCAAGTTCGGATCAAGTAAAATGTGAGCGGAGTCGTTAGACACAGGAATATAGCGGGCTCACAGCTGGCTGCACAAATCACCACGTGGAGTGGATTTGTACCAGCGGTAAAGCCGGCAGGTAGATATGCTTGGCTGATTCCACCGGTACCAGCCGGCTGGAATCAGTTAATTTTAAACCGTTAAAACGCGTATTTTAACATACAGTTTAGAAATCTTTCATATTGAATTCGGATGTGTCAACTGTAATATATACAGATATTTATGAGTATTTTACAACACGTGTATCAACAGCATTCCGTGACATCCCAAAGCATCATCACGTTGCCATGCAGTAATAAAATGTTTCGAATAAACAACAGTGATTTGATGTCACTGACTTTAAATTCAATTTTTATATTGACCGACAAGAGACTGACGAAAGTAAAATGAAAAATAATTTATCAATGATTCCACGTGCATGACATCTACAAGTGCTTCAAACAGGGATAATGATTACTAATTGATTAAATATATACTTTATGTTGATTGATATCATTATGACAGTAAAAGTTACTTTACGGAAACAGCCATTTAGCTTGAATTACAACATGTTCAAAACATCGAGGGCATTCTACCGAATTATTACGTAGACAACATCACTACTGAATGTAGAAATTTCCCGCGAAAAGCTGCAATAAAACAATTAAAAAAAAATAAAAACAAAGATTTTAATACACGAAAGCAGTAAATCTATTTCAAATTATACAGGACCGATGAAAAAGTAAGTTTAAAGGAAATCAAAAGATCTCGAATGATTTAAGAAAAGAAAGAAGTGTACAACCACGTGCCTTTCAATAGCTGTAACTAAGTTTATCGCCTCACACAAAAACAGTTGTTCAAGTCAAGAAAAAACAAAACGTAGAAACAATACATCAAAATACTTACTCTTGTTTGAAGGTATTTTCTGCTTGAAAGTCAATGAAAAAGTTAGTTCCAATCGCACGTGGTAATGTTAAGTCCGTGTAGTGTGTCCTCGATCAGCCGGTGGAGTGCCGATCAGCTGATTCTGTGACGCAGGCCTTATATACCGGCTTCTCGCGAGCCGGGGGCCCACAGTCGGATAAATATTCAGTCACATTTAAATGAAACCGGCATATACGGCAGCTGTTAGAGGACATCTCTACAACTAGACGAGGATTTTTTTTTAGAGAGAAATTGATGAGAAATCAAGACAATTGTAGGAGACACATCACCAGCTGAACAAGACACATCAACGAATTGTACGAGACACGTCGACGTTAACAGGAAACATACGAGACACATCGATGATACAGGAGATACGTGTATAACTATCAGTGATTGTGAGACATCTAGATATTATACATCAACAACTGTACGAGACACACCAGTAACTGTGAGACACCAAGATGCTTCACCAACAACGGTACGAGACACGGAATCAACAAAAATGCATCTATAGGTTACAAAACCCACCTGGAATTATTCGTTCACGTCAGCGCTTAAACAGACATTTAGACACATCTAATGGTATACATTTAAGGATACTGCGACAACCTTGCAAACTACCTTAAAACCTTTACATGTCGCCAACAAAACCCTGCGTGCCTCCCATATAACATCACCTAATTTCCTATCAAAGTTCACGTTAATATCTGGGCAACAACATGATGACAGGACCGAACAAATATGGAAACACAACGACTAAATACGGCAACTGTACAGGTCACTTAGACAAATATTATAGGTCATCGTAACAACACTATCACTTAGATAAATATGGGGCACCGTAACATCTCTAAACACGGCACCTGTACAAGTCACTTCGACAAATATGGGCCACCGTAACATCTCTAAACACGACACCTGTACAAGTCACTTCGATAAATATGAGCCACCGTAACATCTCTAAACACGGCAACTGTACAAGTCACTTCGATAAATATGGGTCACCGTAACATCTCTAAACACGGCAACTGCACAAGTCACTTCGATAAATATGGGTCACCGTAACATCTCTAAACACGGCAACTGCACAAGTCATTTCGATAAATATGGGCCACCGTAACATCTCTAAACACGGCACCTGTACAAGTCACTTCGATAAATATGGGCCACCGTAACATCTCTAAACACGGCACCTGTACAAGTCACTTCGATAAATATGGGCCACCGTAACATCTCTAAACACGGCACCTGTACAAGTCACTTCGATAAATATGGGCCACCGTAACATCTCTAAACACGGCACCTGTACATGTCACTTCGATAAACATGGGTCACCGTAACAGCACTGAAACTCACCTTGCATGTCAAATTCTTTGACCGTCAAGACATGATGACTGGCTGCTAAAGTAATTGTGTGTGGTGCTAAGACCATTGTACGAATTATTAAGGCAACTTTGAGCCATTTTGATAGCTGTATATAAAGAAAGTAACATATCATAGTTGGTGTGTACTGAAAAATGTTCTCCATATATTAAACCAAACTCCCTGTCTCTCCTTTATCATTCTTCACCGTCAGACGTTATATTTTTGTAACATGTCATGTTCTGTATTGTTTCAAGCGGAGGTTGAAATTAAGTTACTGTAAATTATAAAATTGACCAATTGCAAATGGATCGTAATTGCGATAATCGGCAACGTTAGATATACGCCGTTTGTAAATGGACAGTTAAGTAGTCTCTGTGCGGACTGCGGTGAATTATAACAAGAAGCTAATGTGGATGGGTAGGGAAAAATACTGTACGACAAAACATGTTGTAGTCATACTTTTGCTATTAATAGGAATCAGTTTATAAAAACGAATGCGCATATAAATCATCATATCCAAATCATAATTTTATCGTTTGGGAACAAAATGTATTTTGGCAATAAAATACATGACATGTTTATTCATTGACGCCATTCAGTAGACGACCGTATAGAACAGGGGGATGACCGCATTTAACAGGGAGATGATCGTATTGAACAGGGAGATGACCGCATTTAACAGGGAGATGATCTTATTGGACAGGGAGACGACCGTATAGAACAGGGAGATGACCGTATTGAACAAGGAGATGACCGTGTTGAACAGGGAAATGATCTTATTGGACAGGGAGACGACCGTATAGAACAGGAAGATGACCTTATAGAACAGGGAGATGACCGCATTTAACAGGGAGATGATCGTACTGAACAGGGAGATGACCGTGTTGAACAGGGAGATGACCGTATTGGACAGGGAGACGATCGTATAGAACGGGGAGAAGAGAAAATCGTGATTAATATTTTTACATATATGTTTACAGGGAACACGACATGAAAACAAAAGATATACAAAATTGTTATACCTCCATGTTGACTGCTTACGTCACGGATCATTAAGCAATAGTGCACCCCCCTCCCCTCAAAACAAAAATAATAATGAATCCCCAAAGAATCATTGTTTCCAGCCCAATGTTTACATGCCGTCTTTCATCGTTTCCTAAGATATCAACGGTTGAAGGTATAACAAAATATTTGTACACGGGTGTTTCGGTAAACATGTGTTATGTTGAACCCAAGTCTAAACTGTTCCTCGGAATTTCTATTATATCATGTTTACCTCAAACCAAGTCAACAAATACATTATGTTGCCTTTTCTACCTCAAACAAAAGGTACTCTGAAATAAGAAATCTCGCCTGAGTGTTCCCGTAGGGCTGCCGTAGCACCGTGGCAACGATTAGCGGCATTGTATAGTGTTTTTGGACACGTTAAACATGGTTTAAGGCAAACATCAGCCCACATTATAATCGGAGTCTTCATCTGTCCAGTGGGGTGCTCTAAGGCTTGCAGTGATTGGTGGGTGTTCCTAGAGTGTCCCGGGGGTGAGGTAGTATAGATCTATCCCACATATTAATATATATTCCTTAAAATGGAATATATAAACCTATATTTCTATGAAGTTCTCTATCAGAAATATTGTTATAATTCTGTCTGATTTGAAATATATTATTTAGTGACAGAACTGTCGACTATAAGGATACGGCCCCATGATCGCCTCTTATATATCGCCGGTATGATCAGCTGATCGTCAACAGTCAAGTAGGACGGCTATTGTGTTCATACTTATTTCATATTACAGAATAGAAAACAGAAATATTTCCGCATGTATTTAAAGTTAATTTACTGAAAGTCAACCAGAGCGTGTTGACATTGTGTTTTGTTTGCAGTTTCGCGGTAGTCTATGAGTCACTGATGGTTCCTTGAGTGCGATAGACAGTTACAGTGTCATACTGATATTTCGTTTTCAAATTCCAAACACATTCAGCATGCAATATAAGTACAAGTAAACTAAATTCAGGATGAATTAAGTAGGAGATATTGAATTTTGTATGGACTCTATACTTAACTGTAGTGTATATTGAAGTTCTGTATGGAATCTATATCTAACTGTAGGGGATATTGGAGTTCTGTATGGAATCTATATCTAACTGTAGGGGATATTGAAGTTCTGTATGGAATCTATATCTAACTGTAGGGGATATTGAAGTTTTGTATGGAATCTATATCTAACTGTAGGGGATATTGAAGTTCTGTATGGAATCTATATCATCTAACTGTAGGGGATATTGAAGTTCTGTATGGAATCTATATCTAACTGTAGGGGATATTGGAGTTCTGTATGGAATCTATATCTAACTGTAGGGGATATTGGAGTTCTGTATGGAATCTATATCTAACTGTAGGGGATATTGAAGTTCTGTATGGAATCTATATCTAACTGTAGGGGATATTGAAGTTCTGTATGGAATCTATATCTAACTGTAGGGGATATTGAAGTTCTGTATGGAATCTATATCTAACTGTAGGGGATATTGAAGTTCTGTATGGAATCTATATCTAACTGTAGGGGATATTGAAGTTTTGTATGGAATCTATATCTAACTGTAGGGGATATTGGAGTTATGTATGGAATCTATATCATCTAACTGTAGGGGATATTGAAGTTCTGTATGGAATCTATATCTAACTGTAGGGGATATTGAAGTTTTGTATGGAATCTATATCTAACTGTAGGGGATATTGAAGTTCTGTATGGAATCTATATCTAACTGTAGGGGATATTGAAGTTCTGTATGAAATCTATATCTAACTGTAGGGGATATTGGAGTTCTGTATGAAATCTGTATCTAACTGTAGGGGATATTGGAGTTCTGTATGGAATCTATATCTAACTGTAGGGGATATTGGAGTTTTGTATGGAATTTATACCAAACTGTAGGGGATATTGATTTTTTTTATAAGTTACTTCATATGAATAATGAGAGAGATTTTACCACCAAGTTAATATAATGTACAGTAAAGTCATGTGTGGATGATGTGTTTACACAGACAGTTTTTTTCTTAGTTTATTACTAGTATATTTGTACGTGGTATATATCACATTAACATATACTCTGATTACTACATTATTTCTGTACACATTTATACTAATAGTCCATTGTTTAAGTATTCGGATATACTCCGATCTTTACGCGAGTTATACTATTAGTTTATCGATTATGTTTTCGGATACACTCCGATCTTTACGCGAGTTATACTAACAGTTTATCGTTTATGTTTTCGGATACACTCTGATCTTTACCCTGGTTATACTATAAGTTTATCGATTATGTTTTCGGATACACTCTAATCTTTACCCTGGTGATACTATTAGTTTATCGTTTATCTTTTCGGATGCACTCTGATTTTACTCTTTTATCGAATGTGAAATCCTTTTAAAGAAAAAAAATGTTGATTTAAATCTAGTGCAGAAATAAGTAGATAAATGAAATTGTTGATAACGGACGGAACGATGACCATTTTCTTGGACTTCCGACACTTTAGTTGCTACTAAACCAGCAACGTCCACAACACAGAAACATATTGAAGCCGTAAATAGTATTTCTCTTGGGGAATCAACTATCCATTCCTGGTAACCATCATTAATTATATCTATTGTTTCATCTATGTATATTGGTATGTACAATGCTAGTATGTTCCCTAGAGTCAGCACATACCTCCACTGCGT